GTCAGCAGCCATCTGGCAGACGTAGTTGAGCGCTTCAACATCATCGCCGTTGACGTGGAAGACTGGCGCATCGATTGCCTTAGCGATATCGGAACAGTAAGGAGTGGAGCGAGCAAAGCGGGGATCAGTGGTGAAACCGATCTGGTTGTTCACGATGATATGAATCGTACCTCCCGTGGAGTAAGCGGGTAGCGAGTGGAAGCCCATGGTCTCATAAACCACACCCTGAGCAGCAAATGCGGCATCACCGTGTAGCAACACGCCCATAGCAGTGTTGAATTCCTTCTCGTCATCATTATAGTGCTGAATGGCTCGAGTCTTACCAAGAACAACAGGGTCCTCAGCTTCCAGATGCGACGGGTTAGCGACAAGTGAGAGCTGCACACGCTTTCCTGAAGGGGTTGGGCGCTCAAAGTTCATGCCAAGATGGTATTTGACATCTCCAGATCCTTCATCAGAAGGTTCTATAGTACCGCTGAACTCGCTGAAGATTGATTCGTTTGGTTTCCGAACAACGTTACTGAGCACATTAAGACGGCCACGATGCGGCATACCGATGACGATATCCTTGACGCCATAGTCAACACTGCGGTCAATCAAAGCTTTCATTCCAGGAACCAGCGTTTCGCAACCTTCCAGACCGAACCGCTTGTCGTTGGGGAACTTAGTGGCCAAGAAGGCTTCAAAACTAGAACTCCAAATCAGGCGGTCGAGAATGCGACGTTTTTCGTCAACTGAGTATTTGTAAGGTTGGGGGATCTCGACACGGTCGCGGATCCAGTCGCAAGGCACGCGGTCCGGGATATGGATATACTCGATACCATAGGACCCGCAGTAAACCTTCTCACAAGCAGCAATGATTTCTCTCAGAGTCATCTTTTTCCGTGTCTCAGTCTCGAAACGTGGCAGAATACCTGGTCCAAGAGCGAATTCCTCATCTAGGTCGGCCTCAGTGAAACCATAATGGCTCAGCTCCAGTTCCCTGGGTTTGTTATACCCGAAAGCCTCAGCCTCGCCACGAATTCCCAGAGGGTCAATCTTGGCTTTGTGGTGTCCGCGGGCCTGGTATGCGCGCACCAGCAACTGGACTTTCAAGTGGTTCGAGACTTCAGTGCCAGCTGCATTTGTAGCTCCAGCGTCGGGCATGTGTTGAGGAACGCCGCCGGTGGGGGTTGGAACGAGAGTGGGGGGTGGTTGGAAAGCTTGGGAAATGGGCATATTGCCGTCTTCCATGTTGCGGAAGTAGGCTTGCCATGAGACGTGTACACTTGAGGGATCCTTTTTCCAAGCTATATACATCTCATCAATGTAGTTTGCGGTGTTCCCTTGGAGGAAAGAATCACTGGGATCCTACACAGCCAAATATGTGAGTCCGCGATAAAAGACGTTATGCATATTCTCATGATTTGCAGCAGCTATGCACACCATTCACGCATATCACAAAATAGAAAATAAAATACATACCACACCCTTAGTTGTCCCCTCAGCCGCAACAGCATAATGTCTCTTCTGGTTCCGCTTGCTCGTCTGCTGGCATCCAACAACCGCCAACGGTCTCCTCGAGGTCAGATTCAACCTCGAGCTACTCCTTGACAGGGCATTGGAGTGTTTCGACGTCGCGATGGCAGAAAACAACCGGATGTTGTTGCAGGCACATGGAGAGCGGCGGAGAAAGACGGCGGTGGTCGAAGACGCCTTCACTGTAGAAGTTCGCAACATGATTTTGGGGATCTCTGTTTTGTTTCTGGTTTTTCCTTTCTTCGTTTCGCACGCGCACTAAAAGCGGGATGTCGATGGTTGTATTCTGAAGGTTTCTTCACAAAAGTTGGGGAAAAGATGTGTTTATTTCAGTCTCTGCAAGTGAAAAAACAATGTCTGTTTAAAATCAGAAAGATGAAAAAGAGATTTTCTATGAGAAAGAATTTATTTTTGGTTTTGTTAAAAAGAGAAAATGGGGCATAGGATAAATGGCCCAACTTAAAAGAAGGGGGAAAACAAGAACAGAAGCAAAAGGAGGGTTGGTAAACAAAAGGTGTTGGTTGGACGTGAAGGTAGAAAAAGGTAGATGTACTCAACAAGAAACAAAAAAAAACCAATCAAATGTTCTCTTTTTTCTTCCTTTCTAATAATCCCTGCTTAATTCTGTCTGTCTTCTGTGCTCCTTGTCTTTCTCTCTCTTTCTCTCTATTTTTGTTGTTCTTTCAATTTTTATATACTATCCTTTGTGGTGCTTCCGTCTAGTTTTTTCCAGTGGTTCCTTTCCGATCCGTTCCTGTTGCATCGAATCTATGATTTTTAATTAAAACAAAAACTCTTCGTTCAAATCCGAGTCCACTACACACACGACGAAAATTCAACCAAGCCCGTCCGCTGAATCGATGTAAGACTGAATGGGGAGGCTGAAAGAGCAAATACCAAGGCGGGATCTGTCGACTAGTACTGTCGTTCCGCCTATGAAGACTCGCGTTTCATCAGAGAGGAGTGATTCTTCTCCAGGCCTTGATTGCTAGGGAGGGCAAACGAAGGAGGATAGAGTTTCGTCGGATGCTGAGATGAGAAGCTCTGAAGGAAGTGGATGTATATATTCTATTCGCAATAAAGGGTGTGTTAATCGAGATGAGACGTTGGACGTGAGTTAACAGTTAAGCGGAGGAGGTTTAAGAAGAAGAAGAAGAAGAAGAAAGAAAAGGAAAGGTAAGGAAGGAAGAAACCAAACGTTAAGTTCTACCTTATCCGACTCCGTACCTGCCGTCCTGGGAAAGTACCGCCTGTTGATCCCCGGTTGTGGCGGGAACCTGGCGTGGTCACGTGGAGCACCAGGCACCAGGCTGAGTCAGTTGTGGCTGCGTCATCAACAGCGACTTGTCCAACGCGCATCTATGTACTCTCTCCGTAAAAGGGTAAACAAACTCTCTTCTCGACCAGGCTTGCTACCAACCTGTTCCACTCTGCGCAAATCTTGGAAGCAAAGATTGCTTTGCAGCAAACCCCATTGCTCCATTGCTGGCCATCGGTTAATGAGTTGTTGACTGGTTATGTGACTGTATTATGCAAGGCTTGGTGCCCGTGGAACTGGCTGGCAGTGGGCCAGCCAATTAAAACGGCCCATAAGGTGTTGTACCCGGATTGACAGCGGCTAGGCGGTGTTTTTTAACCTTTTCTCATTTTAGGATTCCGGATTAATATTTCATGAATCGCAAGGGAGACAACCTTGGAATGACGACGCATTGTTGTAAAATACACGGTCGAATAATACGCTGCGTGTAAGTAATTCTAATGAGAGATGGGATTTAAACAAACTAAACAGCAGTTGGCAGACGTGGGAGAGAGAGAAAAAGAGCCTTCTGGAACAACATTCATAAATTCCGGGTGGACTGGACTTGACATCACAGATAAAGTTAATCAACTTAAAAGAACTAATAATGGAAAAGGAGACCAAGGAAGTATGATTAAAAAAAGGGAGCTAAATTTAACTAAATTCAACTAATAAACAATATGACAGCAAGAACAGGAGAATGTACAGGAAAGATTCTCAAGAGCGGAATGAGATGAAATAAAAAAGTAAGAGAAGTGTATTAGTATTATATTTAATATTAATTCTCAAATGAGAGACTGAAACCGTCTATATAAGTCTGCTGCTTTAGTAATTGACCATCCCTAGATATCTCTGATAAAGACCGTCAGAGAGATATTGGCACAGGATATATCCGCATCCTCGGAAATAAGACGAGGGAAGGTAAATCTTTCTCTGAAAAGGGCACCGGTTGGCATGTACCCCGTCCTTAGAAGCCATGACGCGGGCGAAGAAGAAAAAGCGGCTGAAATCTCCCAAAAAATCCCAAATCCCAATCAGCTGCACAGTGCCACCTCCAGTCGCCTGACACAAGTTAGTTGCCTGCGGACGAAACAGTGTCACTGACTGAAACCGCCCCAGCTGAAAATAATTCATGCGGGGAGTAAAAAGGAGAGCCTAAGAAAATCTCGCTCCATCCACCTGACCCTTGGTTTGGCAATTACCGTATCTAGGTAGGTAACAGGGGGCGTCATGAAGGATGTCACATAGAGAAAAGGAGAGGGGATCTTGGGGAGAGGAGGGCCAAGGGCAACGGTGTTGATATCCGAAACATGGGGCAAGATAGGAGATGCACATAGGGGAGACGCCTAGGTAGGGATGATGACACGGGATAATGGGGGTAACACAAAGCCATCTCGGGCAACGTCCGCATCCCACGGACCATAACATGCGAGATTTGAACGAGGTAAGTATGTGAACACCTTAGGTAGATAACTAGTTATGTAGAGTTGCTGTATAATGACCTCATGTGTACAAAGTAAAATTACAAATAGAATACAGCCAATGCATGTACTAATGTCAATGCCAACTCTCCACAAATTACTTCCTCTTCCTCTTCCTCCTCCAGAAACAAAATCAACAGGAAGGTAGATGGATATATACATGCAGTGTGAATGGCTGCCTCCACTTCCCGTGTCCGTCTCATTGTGCGGCTCATGGATGCGTGGGTATCATGTAAATGAATAAATTATGGACGCATAGCTGCGTAGATGGATACAAGTGCGTGTGTTATATGTACATAGGTGATAGAATCAAATAAATAAAAACAAAAAAAAGGAAAAAGGAAAATATACCTGATGTGATGGTGATGGAGATGAAGAGAAGGAAAAAGGGGATAAGTGTAGGTAAAACCAAAACACAGAGGGATAAAAAAGGAGCTGACCTGCTTTGGAATAGGATAACAGATGTAATATATATAGAGAAAATAGATAGTCAAAAAAAAAAAAAAAAACCTCCAAAGTAGAAGAGAACATCAAACCACACACTGGGCAAAGTCATCCAGTCAAAAGAATATCGTAAACATCATCGCATATATCGTGCAAGTATAATTTAAACAATATACCCCATATATATAGATAGTAAAATATTAGCAAGATCGTAAAATAGCGCCCTCCTGGAATCTCGAGGATGAAGATACGGTATCATCTCATATCATCCCCCAATCCATAACCTCCCTCTCCACAACCTCGTGCTCCCCACCTTCGCCCGTGCGCCGTCTCTCAAGCACCCATTGATCCCCGCCCGCTTCATCAGTCTGTTTGACATAGCTGATGCTCTCGCCAGCGCTGCTGGAGCGTCTGTGATGAGGTTTGTTAATGTTGCGGCTGTAGGATTTGGCGAAGGATGGAGAGATGAGGGTGGAGGTGGTGGAAGAGATGTTGGCTCTGGCGGTGTCGATATTTAGTGAGGTTTTGGGTTGGCAATGGCGATGGAGATGGAGATGGGACAGAGGCGGATGCGGATGCGGATGCGGATGCGGATATGGTTGTGGATGTGGTTGGGGTTTTGGATAGGAGTGTTGGTCGGAGTGTTCAGTTTGGGGAAGGAGTTTTCCGTTTTCAGGTTGCGGAGGTCTGTTGTTGTTGTAGCTGGTCGCTGGCGATATATCTCCACCAACTTGGTAGTAATTTTGATGCTGCGGTTGCTGTTGTTGTTGAGCACGATGAGGATGGGAATGACACTGAGAAAGCGAATAGAAATGTTGCATGTTGTTGTTGTTGTTGTTGTTGCTGCTGCTGCTGCTGTTGCTGTTGTTGCTTTCCACCCCAACCGGCGACCCAGCCGGCAAGGTATTCCCATTCCCGTCCCCATTCCCGCTAGACCGTCTCTGCTCACTCGACACATCATGAAAATTGACAAAACTTCCTCGACTTGACGCTGACGCTGCAGCCACACACGCACTAGACATAATCGGAGAACCACCCGTAGTATGCGCCTGACTCGCTGCACTACTCCTTAAACTCCCATTACTGCCCCCCCACGCACCCCTCCTCAATTTCAGAAGCGCATTCATCTCATCGTCAATACTCCCCATGTCAAGATGCGTCAAAGGCGTCAGCGGCTGCGGACTCGCCAATGGCGCAGCAGCGCCAGTCATTACACCAGGGTGTGCCGTTAAAGAAACGATAGAGTTACGCGTACTCCACTCACTCCGCTCTGTAATAGGCGTAAGACTCGGTTCCTGAAAATTCACCCGCCCACTATGACTCCTCGTAACCCCATCGACGCCCCTTGTGCCAAAATACCCACCAAGAACCATCTCCTCGTCACAATCGCCAACAGCCTGAGGATAAAAGCCGAATTCCTGCCCGTAGAAACCCTCGTCGTCATTCTCGAGGGCCTCGGCGTTGGCCGCAGCGATAATGGCTGCGTCTTCGTCAAGGTAGTCATCGTCGTTGTAATCGAAGTCGTCGAAGGCCAGAGAGTCAACAGTTATGCTAATACGACTATCGTCCGCTGTTAGGTCTGGGCGCGACTCAGCAGCGGACTGCGATATGCTGCCATCACTGCTGGAATTTTCGCTGATGCTCCTGCTTCGCTCGAAGCGGCCGTTGAGAGCGGCTTCGTTGGCGGCTTGGGCGAGGGCACTATGGTATTGCTCCAGATTGCCTTCCGTCAAGCCGCATATGGCACTTGGTTGCATGTCCCGCCTATTTATATCTCTAGACTTTCTATTGATCCCACCGCTTTGACTGGAAATATTCCGCTGTAATACGCTGTTCTGAGCTACCAGTGGCACATTTACAGCATCACTCTCACCCTCAGCTTCTTCTTCTCCTCCTCCTCCTCCTCCTTCCGCCACGGCTGCTCCTTCTTGGGCATCATTTTGGACGTTGTCCTCATCCGGCACGGAAGGTAAAGCTATAATGAACTCTGCTTTCCTCTCGTAGAGATGGCTATTCTCGTCGTCAAAAACAGATTCATCAAACTTTTCCCCATTCTCAATTTCTCCCCCAATATCATCGATCAGGCCATCGTCAAAGTATAACTCGTCCTCATCATCCCCCAGATCGAAGGGTGCCTGTGGTGATATCTCTTGCGGTGATAGGGATTTAATAGGCATCATATTGGCCCCTGAACCATTCTGCAAGATAGTAACGCTTGCAGCCAAACCAGCAAATGTATTATTGGGATTTATCATCAGTGGAGCTGGCATCTCCTGTTCCGGTGAGCAGGGCGCAGAGGAGTTCAAGTCTAGTGCACTCATAGGGCTAGACAGCAGAGTAGGCAACACCGGTACGAACAAGTTATTATTCCCTAGCACTCTAAGAACGTGCCCCTGACCCGAAAAGTCATCAAATTCACCTCCCAAATTCGCATCAACATTCACGCCTGGAATCCTCTCTTCAAACATACCATCATCCATCATTGCATCGTAGTCAAAATCATCAGAGTCAGAATCGTAAGTTTGGTCAAGCTGTGCTTTCGCCCTTTTGGCAGCTTCTTTCTCCTTGTGTCTTTCTTCCATAAGTCGCTCCTGGGATGCAGAGTCTCCCCCCGCCAGATCGAAACTGAATCTTGAAGCGCTGCTTGTGAGATGCCGCGGTAAGCCTGAGGGTTGAAACGAGCCGTCGTGAACCATTGACACCTTGGATCTTGCGCTGGATGATCTAACACCAGAAGACCTCGAGGCTCGTTTATCCTTCTGCACCTCTACGCTTGTTTGTCTCAAAGGTAATGGTTTATCATGGACCTGTCCGATGGGATGAGATCGATCAGGAGAGGGAGGCCGGTAACTCGAACCAATCTCAGGGAAACTTCTCTCATCATTCACCTGAGACTCTTGCTTCACAAATCCGACACCCTCTTTCAAAACTGGAACAGGAGGTGCCACTTTGTCATTGTGAGCATCTTGTAAATTCACCACCGGCGGTTGAGTCAACGGCTGCGGAGTCTTCACTGGCACACCCGGTCTCGGCCGCGGCGCCGAAAAATCATGAAAAAGCTTCCCGCGAATCCTTGGATCATAATCATCTGGCAATGCAGGCAGTGCCAGCCTACCCGTTCCTATATCTTCTGGACGCAGTGCCAAAGCCCGTGCCGACCGACGGCGGGCTAACAGAGCCATGGGATTGAGAAGGTTCAATCGCGTCTTCCCTCGTTGATAGAGAGGATGCGCGGGCTCGTAAGCGGCATCATGGCTACTAGTATCCCGTCGAAAGCTGCTGCCACTGCTGCTGCTTTCGTGTTTGAAATATTCGCGGCCACCAGAGAAAGTATTGATGTTGCTGTTAGATTCCACATATCCAGGCGGAGAGGGTCTTGATCGTGTACTGTTGTTGTAGGTACTTCCTTGTGAATAAATGTATCCTCCTGCACTTGCACCACCACTACTACTGCCCTTCGAGCTGTCCGACAGTATATTCTTGCCAAACGTAAGTTTCCACGGAGAAGTAGGTTTGCTACTGTAAACATTACCGTCGTGCTGGTCTGGTCGTATCATTGTCGTCTGGTGCTGGGAATCAGCAGACACCGAAGCTTTCTTCCATTTATCACTCCCAGCTGAGTGTGGGCGGATACGATCGGGATTCGGAGGAGGTATAATTATCTGCGGCGATGCTGACAAAGGAAAAATGGTACTAATATTGTCGCGCCCGGCGGTGCTACTATCTTGTTTCCTTCGTGAATCGGGAACATGCTCCGCCTTCCCACCGTGATTATTATAATGGGTAAAATTGTTGTAGTCCGATCCCGATTGCTGTAACAACTGCTGCTGTTGCCGCTGCAGTGGTTCAAACAGCGGAGTCGATCCAACAATTGTATCCGGAAGTCTCGGGGAATATGCCGACGGGCTCGGCAGCGGGATTTGCGGCGGTAGAAGTTGATTGGAAATATTGCTGCCGGGCAGTGCAGTTGACGAAGAGTGGGCAGTGGGGTGTGTCGATGTTGCGGGCGAGCTAGGCCGACGGTGGTCGCGCCGCAGGTATGAAAACACCGTGGATGGAGGCATGATGAGGACGAAAAGATGATGGGGAGGATGAACGAGAGCTCCGCAGCCGCTTGTTAAGACCAGGCCGCTACAGGATCAAGATTGAAGGGTCATTGTGAGGCTGGTTCGCGGTGGGGGGTTGTTGGATGGGATGCAGGATAGATACATCGATGGAGTGGCGAAACATGTAGTTATGATAACGAAACCGCAGCTTATAACAGTGCGACTGTCATATAAAAGGGCGGAGGAGCCGGGCTGTAGCTAGCGACCGACGGCGCAGTGTGGTTTGTAAGAATAGTCGAAAAGTGGAGAGGAGAAGACGAAGTGGGTGGTGAAGTTGTGTGTGTTTTGTCTGATATTGCCTGTTGGAGAAAATATTTACACAGTCTGTTTTTGCCTGCTTGAGGTGGGCTGATTTTTTTTATGTTATTATGTTTAACCCCCTTGCAAAGAGAGCAAAGACATTGATTGACTACGCTGCGTATCTACCAAACAACTATTCCCGACGCGGGTTAAAGCTTAACCATCACCACAGTCGTTTAAATAACCAGCTAGACTCTCTATTTTAAGAGAGAAAGTGGGAAAAGGTTCCAAGAAAATCTTCCAACACACTTAGATGTGTTTCGTTGTGGCGATGGGGCTAGACGAGGCTGTGGACACTTTACAAAGTACTACATCCAATGAAATATTTATTAATGCCAAAATGCCACACTGGGCATAAGTAAGTCAAAAGACGCGATGCTGATGTATTCAGGTATCATAAGTGTACGGACAGAAATGCTTAAACTAGCTACAAGATGAGGAAACGACAATAGACAGATCGAACAAGAAAGGGGAATACCGCAGAGAAACGGGCCAGTAAACAGCAGGTCATTAGCAAGACAAATCCCTCCCGGTTTCTTTCTCGGGGGTATTCAAAAAGGGACGACGAACGATTGACCAGGGATAGTTGTGACCCGTTACCATAAAACGAGAAGAGCACACTGGAAATATGATGGCGATGATGTAACACCGTAAATGCGCATCGCTTATGCCTCGTCATAAACGCTATGAAAAGCCCACCGACAAAGTGAAAGAGGAGGAGGAGGAGGAGGAGGAGGAGGAGAGGGCTTAAAAAAACATAAAACACAAATATAAAAAGGCAAAATCTCAAAATCTCAAAATCTCCAAATAAATAAATAAATAACCCCTCCCCATCTAATTAATTCCGTACACTCTGTCTCCACCGATCAATCAAAGCCGCCTGCCCGGGATCTATAATAGCACTCCGCTGCACACCAGCAATATGCGCGTCCCCATATCCATTCCCATACATCCCAAGATTATTCATAGATCCGGCGTGAGGATACTGGCCCTGTACAAACTGTCCGGACTGTCGATAACCACTCGTACCCGCATTGACATGAGACGACGGATTCATGGCGTACTTGGTACCGTTCCCCGCCGCTCCATATCCATACCCCTGCTGGTGATACTGCTGCTGCATCAAATTCATCGCCATGTGATTGGCGAGTTGTGGGTGCGCTTGTGCCTGTGCTTGTACCTGTTGCTGGTAGGGATTCCGCAGTCCACCCCTATTCGCATTCCAAGTCCCTCTCCCATCCCCACCAGAGAGATACGGATTACTCCCCGCATTTCCAGATGGGTGGGCTTGCAGGACACTCGCAAGGGAATGTCGCTGCTTAAGCGGGGCAGAGAGTGTATTTTCCGCCACCGCTCCCCCGTTCGCCAACGTCTTTTCTTTCTCAGCTTGCAGACGCTGTCGTCGTTGTCCCAACGTCTCCTCCGCCGGCTCAACCGTCTCCGTCTCCGTCTCCTTCTCCTTCTTCTTCTCCTTCTCCTCCCCACGCGAAGACGATTGCTCTTCTCCCTCCTTCCCCTGCTCCCCCTCAGCCCCATCAGTCGACTTCACCCCAAACTGACTAAGCAACTCATCCGTAAAGTCCCTCGTTAACTTTGCATCAATTTCTTCAGCCTTCAAACGGCGTGCGAGCTGTGCCAGCGTCTCGCCTTCTTCCCCTTCATCATCACCATCAGGGCCCGCATTGCCAGGGCCATTACCATCACCTTCAAGTATCTCGCTGTCACGGAAACCATTCCGCCCACCTCCACCACAAAGAGGCTCACCACGAATCCTCGCCCTCCTCCGACTAAGCGGCTCATTCTCCTCCAACTCCAACTTCTCCATAAGACCCATAGGCCTATTCTCATCGTTCAGCAGATTCTTTGGATAAAGCACAGCGAGCGGGACATTCTCGTCTTCCGGTTTGTTACGCTCTGCAATCCCCGGATCTTCCCAGGCGAGCGTAATATGCCGCTGATTACGCGTCATGCGCTGGTGCTGCGCGACGGCGTCGAGTTCGAGTAGAGTCGAGTGCATGCCGTTGGGGAAGGCGGTGGCTGCGGTGCGGCGTCGCTGTTTTTGTTCTTGTTTGCGCATTTGGAGCTCGGCGAGGAGGGTTGTTGGGGCTCCGACGTAGGTTTCCTCAAGGTCTGTCTCGTCATCGGAATCCTCGTCCTCATCCTCGCCTTCTTTTTCACCTTCCCTTAAACACTCGTCTTCCTCATTACGGCCTTCATTCCACTCATCGTCATCTTCGTCATCTCTCCGATCGGCATCGTTATGAAGATTACTAGCCAACTGTTCCCTACCCGCTGCATCCCCATCATACGATTCTCGAAACGGTGTCACCTCGTCGCTGCCCTCAGCAGCATGACCCTCAGTCTCAATACTTCTTTCTTGCTGTCCAAGACCTCCTTCGTTTTGAAGCGCAACCACGCTGTCTCGGGCGCTTAGAGACTTGCGAGAAACATGCTTGCCCTTCTTCTCCGCCTTAGGCTTAGAAACTTTCTTTAATCTCCGCTTCCCGCTCGGTTTCCCATAGACCTCCGCACCAACATGTCCTACAATTGGGTGATCTGTAAATGCGCTAACCGGTGCTTTTGCAGCGGCATCCAGAATGCTATCAAGTGTAGCAACCGCCGAATTCTGCTTGATTTGAATATCTAACTGGGCAGGAGGTTGTTCAAAGAAAGCGCTCGCGCGTAATTGAGGGGGTAATTCCGATAATCTCTTAGCCTGTCGTGCATCCCCTTTCACTTCCTTGTCATTATCGTCTGGAGGTGGTAACCAAGCAGCTACTTTCCGTGCGTCTGCTGAGAGGGAATTGATGATCTGGGAACGGTGTTTTTCGTACTGCGGATTGGGCTTTTTCGATAGTCGTTGCGGTAGGTTAAGTACCATTGGAACGGGCGCAGGGTAGTATACCATTTTCTGGCCTGGAGGGGGGACATTTAACGGATGCGACTCTTTGGTAAGAGGTAGTTTGGTCGACGATACCCGCTGGTGCGGGGGCCGTTCCCTTGGGTGCGGCGTGAAATGCACGCCATCAAAGTCTTTAAATAACGCCATGGATTCCTTGTAGGTATCCGTTGAATCAGCAGAGTCTGGGCACTCTTCTGGAATATCATCGTAGGCTGTCGAATTTGGGTCGGAGAGAGGAAGTTGCGGGTGTTGCTCATCGAAGAAACTACGCTGAGGGATATCGGGAGGAGGCAGGAGAGGGGCCTTCGCCGGAATCTGCTGAAATTGCGCAGGCTGGTCCTCGATTACGGGTTCGGGGACCTGGGCTAGCCGAGAAGCACCTGAGGCCGATCGAACGCGCGATGCGGAGCCCGCAATGCTCTGTGAGGAAGAGCCCGACATGATAGAACCCCTTGGAGACGTGACGTACGCTTCCGGTGAGTATCCGTTAGATCTTGCGGTATTATTTACACTGATTATTGAGTTTGACAGGGACGGTGTAGAATAATTCCGGACAGGAGAGGCTGGGCCACGCGGGTTCACGGCACTGCAACCGGGAGAGCTCACAGACCGCCTTTTCTGTTCTAGGTTCAATTTCCGCAATTCCCCCCTGATGTCCGAGGTACTGCTCAGTGTCTCTGCAGACCTCTCCAGCCGCTCAACGTTTCCCACGTAGGCGCCCTGTAGTGATTGCAGGTCTGGAGTTGGATGGCGCAGGGGAACAGGACGCCCTGATACGGATGACTGGATTATAGGCTCATCTGGAGACACAGGACTGGCGGTATTTTTACTGGAGCGATTGGAGGAGATACCATTCGTGTTGTTATTGCTCTTGAGATGGCTTTGCGAGGAGGAAGGAAGAGAATCAATATGGGCGGGGGAATTCTCGAGATCTGCAGCGGCTGTGTAGTCATCTTCTTCTAACATGTCATAGCTGGCCGAAGTGGCTGCTAAGGATTTGATCACCGAGCTTAGTGAGGTTGGGCTGGCCTCATCACCCATGTTTGCGGGACTCATAAACGCTCCTCCGCCCAGGTTGTGGACATCCAGAGAGATTTTCTGGAATGGCAGGTTGTTCGACGGCGGAAGAGGGGACTCTGATCTATCCGAGGCTGAGGCATCGGAGGCCACTTCGTCGTCGTCGTGGTCGTCGGACTGGGAGAGGGCGTTATACATTTTCATAGTGGTGGTTGTGGAGGTCCCATACAAGAACAACCAAGAAGTGGGGGATGAATCGGGTGTACGGAGTTGTTAACAGCTAAGAGTCAGGAGCTGGATGTGGCGTATTCATGGACACGAAAGACAGATAAAATAATAAGTCACTGATACATGATAACTATAGCTGATCTTAATCAGACTGTTAAGCGCAGAGGGAGTTTTGTCTGTGGATTTCAAGAGAGGTGACTTCACAGTTGAAGATGGTAACCGGTTTGAAGGGTCGTGTGGGTGAAGAGGCTTAGCGAATCCGCGAGAGACGACGGACAACCAACCCTTTGAGGAGTAAGTAACTATGGAATAAGCAGAGAAGACAGAGAAAGTAAGGCAACATTCGACTTGCGATGTTTTAACCAGTTACAGCATCAGAGAGTGAAACAAAGAGATGATGATGCTTTCGTTCCAGAAATATAAATAGAACGCTTGGACATTCCTGTTTTCCTTGGGCAACTCATTCTTTACAGTCATTTCTTACTGGCGAGTGCTTATTATTATTATTAACTAACTATTATTATTAGCAGTGACTGACGACCATGTGGAGGTTCGGACAGAGTTAAAAAGCACCAGTGAGCCTAGACACACAAAACAATATCCGACTGAGACACGGCGATAGGTACAACCCTTGGTTTTGATATGCGTTAGCTTTCCTTATATAATGAGTTCTAGATGGTTGGGTTAACTAAGTGGGTTAATACGGGTGGAGCAGAGAAGTGATGGGGAGCTGGGAAGAACCCTCCAGACCCCGTCGATCACCCAAAAGTCAGATTAAGCTGTTTATTTATTTATTTATTTGTTTGTTTGTTTATTTCCTGTTGATACCCGCCTTTTTTTTTTTTTTTGGTTAACTTAGTTAATTCCGAGATCATTGGTTAGTTGCTGTCTAACTACTTCGGCACTCCGTACCGTCGACGAACTGCCCTGGGGCTGTGTTTCAATCTCAACTGCATCTCTTGCATTGATCCGGCTGTCATTCGTCAGTCCTTGAACTGTCCAACTATCTCTGTTCCTGTTCCTGTCCCAGTTCCCGTCTCCTCGCTGTCCTCCTGCCCCGGGCTGTCATATCATCACTATGTATCACTTCCTGGTACCATAATATCACCCTCAACCTGTTTCTGCCGCTTGGCCCCGCACCCATTAACGTTCGTGGTTGTTTATTATTTTACCTTACAAAAGTTACTCCGCTCACTCCCGTGTTTCATCCCATGATCCGTCCATCCCGTCCGACAATATCATCATCATCATCATCATCGTTATCATCGTTATTTCGGTTAAAAAGCCAGTGCCGGTGTAAATTCAAAAGGCCCCTCTGGTCCCCTAGAGAAAATTCAATTATCAACAAAAGGTTTGTGGTGGGAAGAAGGGATTGGGGGGGGGTGGGTTTCACGATTTCCTACCAACCATCTCAGCTCATCTAACTACGGAGTCTAACTGTGTTTGTTTTACCTATTCCTCAAGCGGCAAGCAGAAAGTGGGACAGTGCGTGGCACGCCGTGATACTTCGTGATACAAATAGCTACAGGGGGGTGGATAATATGCAATAATCACAATAGTTTGTTAATTCAAGTAGTGGTTGGGCCCTTGGTGGTTCATCTTATCGAGTACAGAGTACAGGTAATAAGAAGCACTAGAGAGGCGCTGACACGCATCGTGCCTTTTGCTACGGAGACGTGATTTATTATATGCTTTTCGTTTGAACCTTGCTTAACCCTGGAGTTGGTGATGAGGAGAACAACAGGTTAGGTAATGTGTGCCATAAGTACCCCAATAACTAACTGAGCGCAGCAATATGATTCAGAACGTGAACATAGCTGCCATATCCGCATATCGACCGATGCATAATCCGAGGGAAACAATATGAGAAAGAATGCGCGAAAGAAAAAAAAAAAAAAAAAGAACCCACCTTATCTGCATAAATATGTGGAAGGAGTGGAGCCTACGAAGGTCATTACCGGTAATGTGTTCCAAAATGGGTATGGGATAATTGAACTACAAATTACTTCCATATGTGTATTTTGCGATCCATTCCTGTTCCTGGCTAGGTAAATTATGCCGGCAGGGAAGATGACACGATGTTAATAGTGTAGTTAACTACGTCTAGATCATGATTTAGAGGTATTTAGAGTGGCACCACATATGTGCTTTTCAGGGAAATGGGTGTAGACATATGGTGTTCAGGAACTTGAATATGCCAGAACTTCAATCCAACATTCATCAAGAAACTAAATATGCCCATTCTCATTATATTCAAACAACCCTCGCCGCGAGGTTATGTTCAGGCCATCTTCGAATAGAGCCGAATCTTATCACCACGTGATCCTTATAGATCGCGGCACGAAAAGAAACACTTTATGTGTAGTTAAGATACCACGATAATGAGCAGTAGCAGCAAACGAAAGACAGCAACATAGACTTTGTACGAAATGTCATATTACGACATAGACGCCATTCTCACCGATGCGCAGGTTCGTAAAAAGGCGCTGTTTGGTTCCTTCTCCCCAAATCATTCAAGTGATCAATTGAATTTCTCCACTAACATTTAAAGGCAATTTGCCTGCCCACGTCTAACAGAAACTACCGTGTACATTCGAGCTCGCGGTGCCTGGGCTGGGTTATCTGGACGGCAATGCCGGGGGAGATGTACTTTGCTTAACCGTTCCGTCCGTATATCTCTCCCTACCCATCATCCCACTAACCAATCCACCAGATAAAGCCAGGCACCCGGATCGACCTCCCCCTCTGGCTCGGCGAGATGCTTGCGGTCGGGTACGTCCCAAAAAAAAAAAAAAAAAAACCCACCCCTCATCATCCCATCTCCCACCCCACCATGCCCAATGCCAACTAACTAATCAACCACCCAGCGCCCGCGCCGACTCATCCCCCCTCGTCACCCTCGACCTCTCCACCGCACTGTCGGAACAAGTCCTCAACGCCCTAAAAGCCAATCCGGGCACGGTAGACCTGCGCTCGCTGGCGCCGCACTTCTATAGCCTTGCCGTGCGCATTTTGCAACTGTTCGAGGAGGAGGAGATGGTTGATGTGCTTATGGAGGTGAGTTGTTGGACAAAAAAGAAAAGAGGGAAGGGAGAGTGAAGTGGTTTCGCTGACGGTTATTGGTTTTTGATAGGCGTTCAAGAAGCGCTCGATGGAGATTGCGGATCATGCGTATAACTCGCAAGGGGCGCTGGGGGATGGGGTTGAGTTTTTGAGGGGGTTGGATGAGACGGAGAGGAGGTGTGAGTATCTCTTTATTATTATAATTATTATTGTGGCTTTATTGTTACGCTGTTTGTTCTATTGATGCTAACGATTGTTTGATATAACATTGATAGTGTTTCGAATTGCGCATAGCAGCGCGAAGGAGATGCGTGTTTGGTCCGGGGAGACGAAGAAGATGTAAGGAGCGCAGATATACGATATATCATGAGGGATATCTATATTATCTACATTATATATAGATTGATGAATGGGATTGGAGCATTGGGAATTGGAACTGGGACAGTGAGGATGTGATGGGAGTCTTCTTTTCGGTTTGCGAGTTATATCCATAGCTACAGTGCATTCATTTCTTCGTTCTGGCGTGCTTGGATTGGAAATGAATAATAGTTGGGAATCTTTATTGTTACGATCGTATATGATTGACTTTTCCTTCTCCAACAACTCCAACAATGGTTTAAGATGTGAAAAAGGTGAATGGTGAAAGGCGAAATATCGGATTAAATGAGTCCTAGTGGGATTATACGGGGACATGGTAACTCCGGCGGGCCGCGACGGGGACCCAGAACTTTATTTCAACTAGACTGCGTGCGACCTTTCGTTTTCGATATATTTTGATGAATTGATATGAGGCGTTGGTTAGTTGATTAATTATAAATAATTTGACTCTGTATTGGAGCTGTTCGTACATGTCAAGGTCACAGACCTTGACAAGGTGTCCTCACGGCACCGCTGCCTATTCTACATCATATGAGTGGTTTCTCCGCTGCTGCCCTATGATATCATGGTAGTGATGTTCGTGCTTCGCTGCTTTTATGGGTAGGGTGACATCTCATCACATTCACTGAAGAACGGGGGCCTTGATAGAAGCTCAATATAGATAGCTATCTGACCCACTGTTCAGAGGGTCAGTGATTCATTCTCAACAGTTATATATCTGAGTTACTGGAGTACGCATGCAATTCTCCGTATAATCGCTTGTACCTTCAATTCTTAGTTGCCTCTTCCATTTGTAAGCATATACACTCGTCTGCTTCCTTAACTAGCCAAGCCCACCCGTTCGGCTTCCCATATAACCAACCCTACATGGCGTTGCTGTTGATCCTTTGTCCATGTGCCGCCTCGTTGCAGTACAATTGGGTTGAGGGGAGATTGTGCAATCTTGCATGGAAGAGATATTGTAGCGAATCAAAAGGTATGGTTTGTTTGTAAACTTTCCAAGGTTATTTCCTCCAGCTTCCACTCTTTACATATCTAAGTATACATATATATATATATATATATTCATTGCCTTTGCAAATAGAAGTATCCCGAATAAGCGTCGAAACGCCTGAAGGAGACAGTGCAGAATTTAGTGAGCTACGAATGTAGGTTCTGCGTGGTTGGGGTTCAACAGCAGAAACATGGTGTGTATCAGCACTCAGGAAATTCCAAACTCTCCACTTTTTTCTCCCCCGCCCCCTGAAATCATGAAAATGCCAGATGGGGACGTTAAAATAGTTTAGAAATTGGCGCTGTGGCGGTGCGGACGAGGGAAGAAGGGAAATAACGAGGGCTGGGGGGGCGGCTGGCTGGGCTGAAACGGTTTACGACTGCCGGGAGGGCCCGGACGAGGGACTGGATAAATCCTCCGATTGGGAGGGGTAATAGGGGAAAATGCTGCTAAGGTCTAACTAACCAACTAAATCTGGACGAGGGGGAAGAGTCAAGACCGTGTGGCGTGCGGTGTGCCTGGCAGCCTGGCAGCCTGGCAG